AAACTGTGTGATGAATGGAATTCATATTCTTCTTGTGTTGTCCAAACATCCCCCCAAGCTAACATTCTTTTTTTTTCTCCTATATTTGAACTTCTCTCTTCTGTCTCCTTATCTCATCCTCAGAGGAGCTATCCCGATCCTCTGTTAAATTTGGGTTCCAAGTGGCAGTTTCACATAACACCATGCTTTTCTTTCACAGTCCTCATCCCATATAAAATTAAATGCTTATCTCTCTGCTAATCAATGTTTATTTTCTTACTAGGTGATTGGGTATTGAAGGACAGGAACCAAGTCTGTTCTTTTATTGCTTAGCTTGGTTGGGGTTTCAATTGTTCAACTTTTGTTTCGCTTTTTGCTTCTTGGAGGTAGGATCTGCCAAATGAGGTTTTTTTTGTTTGTTTGTTTTTGTTTGTTTGTTTGTTTTTTAATTTCTATGCACTCAATTGACTGGGCTGATGTCTAATACATGATTGATTAATACTTGTTGAATCGATGTATTATCTATCCCAGAGACTCCTCAAGTAGGCTGGGGTCATTGGATTTAGTCATCAGAAGGTCACTAGAGACTCTATGAAAATGTCAGTAAAAGCAGACAGCAGAGAATTGAAGAAGGGCTGGAAGCCCTGAGAAAGGAAGCATAGTGCATTTTTTTTTTTCATTTCTTTTTGGCATATCAGGACTTGTAATCATGGAAAAAACAAAATGGTCTAAAATGCAAGAATCCTATCCATGAGTCATGCTACTGCCGAACCTGTATTTCAGAGCTGCACATACCATCTTTATATAATTTTGATTCAGAATAAGCACCTTGATGGTGTTTTATTTGCTATCAATTGCAGCTTGTGTTGTTGACATTATTTAAATGTCAGTAGAACTCTGTCCCACAGATATTAAATTTTACAATCATTTATGAAACCTCCTTGAGTCAACTCTTCCTTAAGTATTTCAAATTCTTGTCAGGCCTGTTTATTTCCCCTGTGAAGATCTAAGAATTGGTTTTAGGTGATAAATTGACAATGTACTGCCTGAGTACATTTTTTGTGAAACTTTGAAAACGTTTGTCTACATTAATCTAAATGATGGTGCAGTAGGGCCCAAGCTACAGTAAACACAGAATAATGAGTAGCATCTGTCAACCCTAATGGCAAGGGATGTCAAGCATTCTCAAGCACCTTGCATTTTTGTGACAAGTAAAATAAATCTTGGTGAGTCAGTCAATCACTACATGTGTGAGTAACACCTGTGTGTCACATCTAGTAGCAAAAATGACATTTGTAACACTGCACCTGCCTTCGTGGAGTTTATTGTCCAAATGGGGAGACAGACATGAAAATGAAGGAAGCCGCCAAGTGTGGCAGCAGCTTGATGGAGGCAGGTGTAATTGACAGAGGAGACTGTTGGTGTGTGTGGTGATATGGCAGTCAGAACACCTTCCTGACTTGTGCTGTGTCTTAAACCTGAGTAAATCTAGGGGCCTGCAGTGAGAGGAACACCAGCGTAGTCCAGGCATGATGGAACGAGGGATCAAAGTCTCAGAGGCATGAAACTGCGTGGCCTTGAACATACTAGATATTAAGGTACAGGCATCTTGCATATCATTAAGAACACATGATTTATTCAATGGGTGCTCCGTGACAAAAGAAGTTGGAGAAGCAGGAGAATTGCACGGGGACTCTTGTGTGCCCTGTTAGGTGGTGTGGCTATGTTCTCTTGGCCGTGTGGAGCATCCGGGTAAGGTATTTGAAGTGATGACACACATTTTAGAGCACTCACTATTGCAGTTGTTTAGAGATCACATTAGAAAGTTTGAGACCTGGAGACATCTTATTCATTCAAACATTTTTAGGTGCCTTTTAATTGCCAGATATTCTAAGCTCTGGCAATTCAAGAATGAACCGGGTTTGAGACCCGGCTTCTCCGCTTCCTGTCCAGCTCTCTGCTATGGGAGAGCGGTAGAAGATGGCCCAAGTCCTGGGCCCCTGCACCCACGTGGGAGACCGGGAAGAGGCTCCTGGCTCCAGATTGGCACAGCTCCGGCTGTTGCAGCCATCTGAGGAGTGAACCATCAGATGGAAGACCTCTCTCTCTCTCTGCCTCTCCTCTCTCTGTGTAACTCTGACTTTCAAATAAATAAATAAATCTTTAAAAAAAAAATGAACCAGAGAGTCCTCTGCCCTCATGACATATTCTAGCAGGAATAGATATGCAATAACCAGAACAGTGAACAGACAAACAAGAACGATGTTAAGCACTGTGTAACACAGTTACAGCTGTGGTTGGCCAGTGTTGTGGCACAGCAGGTTAAGCTACTGCCTGCAATGCCTGCAACCCATACTGGAGTGCTTGTTCAGGTCCCGGCTGCTTCACTTTCAATCCGACTTCCTGCTAAAGTACCTGGAAGCCAACAGAAAATGACCTAATTATGTGGGCTCCTGCCACCCAGATGGAAGACCAGGATGCAATATCTGGCTCCTGGCTTAGGCCTATCCCATACCTGTGGCCGTTACAGGAGTAAACCAGCAAATGGAATAATTCTTTCTTTGTCCACCTAACCCCCTGTGTATGTGTGTGGGCCTGTGTTCGTCTTTCTGTATCTCTTCCCCTCCTATCACTCTGTTTCAAATAAATCTTTAGAAATATAAAATGCAAATAAGTTCATATAAAGATAGTATCCAGTGGCTACTTGAACTTGCATGGCTAAGAAAGACCTCTCTGAGTGGAATCTGAGTGACAAGAAAAAATACTAACTTTGTGAATGTGGTGGGAAGAGCATTCTAGGCAAAGAGAAACACCGGTGCAAAACCCCTAGCAAAAAAAAGCTTGGTCAGCTCTACAAACAGAATGAAGGCCAGTGTGGCTAGTAAGGAATGGGCAGGGAGGGCTAGGTGATGAGGTCTAATCAGTAGGTTAGGATTAGAATTCAAAAGCCCTAAGACTACAGCAATGTATTTGGATTTTATTTTAAGAGGCCTGGCAAGATGCCATCTAGTTTTAAGTAGGAAAGTGATATGGTCAAGTGTGCATTTTTACTACTTCTTACAAGTTTTATTTCCATTGTATTTGAAAAGCAGGAAAACAGATGGTAATACATCTCCCATATGCTGATTCATTCCCCGGAATGCTAGCAACAGCCAGCCCTGAGCCAGGCAGAAGCCAGGAGCCTGAGTCTCAACCTGGCCCTTCCACATGGCTAGCAGGGACTCAGGTACCTCCAAGGGTGCCCATTAGCAGGAAGCTGGAATCAAGTGTAGCTGGGATTCAAACTCAGGCATTCAAGTATGGGATGCGGTGAAAAGTTTGAGCAGACATCCATAATCCTCTATTTGCACAGAACAGTTCATTATCATAGTAAAATGGACACAAGTGAAGGCCACAGAGATGGAAAGAAGCAGGTGGAACTGAGAAATAACTGTAGGTAGAGCTTTAAAAAGACTTGATGGTATATTAGATATCTACAAACAAAAGAACAGGAGTAACAAAAGAAAAGGTGAATTGAAAAACACTACTGAATGTTTGGCATGTGAAATGGGTGGACAGTAACAGTGCTTATTGACTAAGGGGTAGATATGAGAGAAGGAAGTGAGAATTCCCACTGGGTCATGTTGAACTTGAAATACCTGCTGCACCCAAGTAGAGATGTCAAGTGTGTAAGTGGATGTACACATCTGAAGCTGCAAGGGGTGGTCTACCATAGATAAAGATTTAGAGGATATCGCCAATTATTTTTGAAATCCAGGGACTGGAAGAGTTGGTATAATTGGAGAAGGTTACCAACAACGGGCTCTGATTTCCAAGAACTTATAAATACAGTGGTTACAAAATCTACAACAAGAACCTGCAGCATCATAGAAGCCAAGATAAGAATGAATGGGTTTATAATATGATTACAATTATAAGTAAAACATAGGGAGTCATTGTAAATATTTGTTATGCTGCTTTTCAACAGTCATTCTTGCCCCTGTCTCATTATCCTTGTAATCTTAGTACTTAAGACAGAGAAGGGAAACAAGTGGAGCTAGGAAAGCGTTGTTTTGGATGAGTAGCATGTAAAAATGTTAATTAGTGAAGAGTTCACTCATCAGAACAGTAGCATAAAGTAGACAAAGACAAACTTAAAGAGGTGAGAGTGGGAAAGTAAGTGTGGATTATTTTTTAAGGAACCCCTTCTACTCAGGGAAGGAGATAAGTTGGGAGAGTAAAATGGCACAGGAAATTTATAAATTGGTAGGAAAGAGCCAGTGGAATAACAAGGTTAAAAATGCAGGTGGAACCTGGTGGAAGTGCAAAATCAAGTAGCCAATCTGGAAATTAAAATACTGGTTCCTCCAAAAATTAAAATTATAGGGGCTGGTACTGTAGCGCAGCAGGTTAATGCCCTGGCCTGAAGCACTGGCATCCCATGTGAATGCCTGTTTGAGTCCCAGCTGCTCCACTTCCCATCCAGTTCTCTGCTATGGCCTGGGAAAGCAGTAGAGGATATCCCAAGTCCTTGGGCCCCTGCACCCACATGGGAGACCCAGAAGAAGCTCCTGGCTCCTGACTTCAGATCAGCGCAGCTCTGGCCATTGCGGCCAATTGGGGAGTGAACCAACCAATGGAAGACCTCTTTCTCTCTGCCTCTCCTCTCTCTGTTTAACTCTGACTTTCAAATATATAAATAAATCTTTAAAAAATTAAAATTATAAATGCCATATGATCTAGCAATTCTACTCTTGGGTATAGGATCAAAAAGGATTTGAAGGACTTGGCGCCCGGCGCAGCGAGCGCTACCCACAGCCCCCGCGCGGCCCTCCCCACAAAGGGCCACGGAGCTGCGTGGCCGCTGCTGCCGCTGCCGCCAGCCCGGCTCGCCTCAGCGGGCGTGGAAATTTGTTGCACTTCTTGGGGCTTTGTTTGTTTGTTTGTTTTGCCTTTGGGCTTTTTTTTCCCCCTCCTCTTCTCATTATTTTGGACAAAATGTCGGTCCGTGATGTAAAAATTGAGCAAGGGACCTTGGTGGCATTGGGAGCTTTGCAGAAGGTGCAGTTTGGATTCTGCTCTTCCCAGGATGGCAGCTCGGTCTTGGCCGGCTGAGTCTTCGCTGCTGGCCGTGGAGGCGGCTGGAGCAGCTCGTTAGTTGATTTTTAATAATTTTTAAGTGTAGTGTTTGAAGGCTTTATGTGCACAGAGGAGGGGGGGCGGATCGCCACGTTAAATAAGCATATGGGCGATTAACAGGTTTTCCAAGAGGTCACTTCACCAAGATGTGCAGTGATAGGCAGAGGTCCGACGATGAGAGCCCCAGCACCAGCAGTGGCAGTTCAGATGCGGACCAGAGAGACCCAGCCGCTCCAGAGCCTGAGGAACAAGAAGAAAGAAAACCTTCTGCTACCCAGCAGAAGAAGAACACCAAACTCTCTAGCAAAACCACTGCTAAGTTATCCACTAGTGCTAAAAGAATTCAGAAGGAGCTAGCTGAAATAACCCTTGATCCTCCTCCTAATTGTAGTGCTGGGCCTAAAGGAGATAACATTTATGAGTGGAGTTCAACTATACTTGGTCCACCAGGTTCTGTATATGAAGGTGGTGTGTTTTGTCTGGATATCCCATTTTCATCAGATTATCCATTTAAACCACCAAAGGTTACTTTCCGCACCAGAATCTATCACTGCAACATCAACAGTCAGGGAGTCATCTGTTTGGACATCCTTAAAGACAACTGGAGTCCTGCTTTGACTATTTCAAAGGTTTTGCTGTCTATTTGTTCACTTTTGACAGACTGCAACCCTACAGATCCTCTGGTTGGAAGCATAGTCACTCAGTATTTGACCAACAGAGCAGAACATGACAGGATAGCCAGACAGTGGACCAAGAGATACGCAACATAATTCACATAATTTGTATGCAGTGTGAAGGAGCAGAAGGCATCTTCTCACTGTGCTGCATATCTTTATAGCCTTTACAATACGGACTTCTGTGTATATGTTATACTGATTCTACTCTCTGCTTTTATCCTTTGGAGACTGGGAGACTCCCCAAAAAGGTAAATGCTCTCAAGAGTAGAACTTTGTAGCTGTAGATTAGTTATGTTTAAAATGCCTACTTGCAAGTCTTGCTTCTTTGGGATATCAAAATGTATTTTGTGATGTACTAAGGATACTGGTCCTGAAGTCTACCAAATATTATAGTGCATTTTAGCCTAATTCATTATCTGTATGAAGTTATAAAAGTAGCTGTAGATGACTAGGAATTATGTCATTTATATTAAACCCAGATCTATTTCTGAGTATGTGGTTCATGCTGTTGTGAAAAATGTTTTACCTTTTACCTTTGTCAGTTTGTAATGAGAGGATTTCCTTTTACCCTTTGTAGCTCAGAGAGCACCTGATGTATCATCTCAAACACAATAAACATGCTCCTGAAGGCGTAAAAAAAAAAAAGGATTTGAAGTAGAATTTTAAGACATTTTTTACACCGATGCTCACAATACCCAAAAGGTGCAAGCAACCCAAATATCTTTCTGTATATGGATGGGTAAACAAAATGTAGTATTTGCATTCAGTGGAATATCATTGAACCTTAAAGGAAATTTTACACCTGCTACAACATGGGTGAACCTTGAACATTAGTCTAAGTACAACAAATCAGTCACAAACGGATAAAGACTGTGTACATCCATCGACATTAGGAACTGGAATAGTAAATTCATAGAAATAGCAAGTAGAATGATGGTTGCCAAAGGCAAAGGGGACAAAGGAGTTACTGTTGCTTAGGAAGAGAATTTCTGTTTTGCAAGATGAAAACATTTGGGAGATGGCTGTACAACCATGTGGATATACTCACTACTGAACTGAACACTTAAGTTTTACATTGCATTTTAAAAAAAAAGCACTTGAGGGGCTAGTTTTGGGGTATAGCCTGTAAAGCCAATGCCTGCAATGCCAGCATCTCATGGGATACCTTAAGTCTTGGCTGCTCCACTTCTGATCCAGCTCCCTGTTGATATGCCTGGGAGGACAGCAGAGGGTAGCCCAAGTCCTTGGGCTCCTGCACCCGCGTGGGAGACCCAGAAGAATCTCTTGTTTCCTGGATTTAGCCTGGCCTACCCCAGCCATTGTGGTCATTTGGGGAGTAAACCAGCAGATGGAAGATCTCTCTCACTCTGTCTCTCTCCTTCTCTCTGCCATTCAAATAAATCTTTTTTTTTTTTTTTTAAATGTGAGTGGACAACAAAGGTAGGACACCTGGAGACTGATGAAGAGACTTGGTTTGCTCTGTGGCTAGAGAGAAGGAGGTGAGTCAGATATGGATGGGAGAAGATTGTCAGTATCAGAACAGAAAACCGAGGACAGCTTGTCCGCTAACCTCGACATTCTCTCTAAAGTATAAGATAAGGTCCCAGAGAATGAAGGAGGCAGGCCGACAACTCTGCTTTCACAGTTACCCATGATGCTCATGAAAGAATACGGTGAGATCATTTAAACAGGGCAACCAGACGCTGTTTGCCTTTTCCACTCCTGCTAGACACTTTCCCCCCAAGTGTATAATGTGTTGCTTCAGTCAGCCAGCAAGAACAGTGAGTCATTTCACAAATCTTGCATTTCCAGATACTCAGACAAATCAAACTCGACACCCAAATTGATTTGCTTTATTCTAGTTGTCCTATCAATAAAATCATGACTCCCACAGATAGTTAATCTTGAAAACTTTTTTATTTATTGTCAGTGCATCTTGCAATAGCCGGATGATCTTAAGAAATCTAGAAGCATACAAGCGCATAGTTAATTTTTACTTGAAATTTCAATCAATTATATATGGATTGTTTTTCACTTTCTATAATGTCAGAAAAGAAAGACTTATAATACACAAAGTATCCCAAATACCCATGGTGATAAGTCTTGGCGCATTGTTGCTGTCTGTTGCCCACCTGATTAATGCCAATGAGGAAAGGCACAGAGCGGCTGTGCCCGAACTTTGCCTGACACTTAATTCATCCATTCCACATGTACTGTGTGATGATGTATTTGCTTGTCAAATTTTGTATGTATCAGGCTTGAGATTTTTTTTAAAGATTTATTTCTATTTATTAGAGTTACAGACAAAGGTAGAGACCAGGAGAGAGGGAGGTCTTCTATCCGATGGTTCACTCCCCAAATGGCCACAATGGCCGAAGCTGAGCTGATCTGAAGCCAGGAGCCAGGAGCTTCTTCTGGGTCTCCCACGTCATCGGTGCAGGGGCCCAAAGACCTGGGCCATCTTCCGCTGCTTTCCTAGATCATAGCAGAGAGCTGGATCAGAAGAGAAGTGGCTAGGACTAGAACCAGCACCCATATAGGATGCTAGCGCTTCAGGTTGGGGCTTTAACCCGCTGTGCTACAGCACCGACCCCCAGGCTTGAGATTTTAAAATGAGATGCATGAGGCAGCAATATTTTTAATCAAAGAAGTTTTATATATTTTTTGATTCATAAATAGTATGCATTTTTCAAAGTTACGAACCTATTCTTAGAAATACAGTAACACTTAAAATTTTTAATAATCCTTTTGTGTCCTCAGATGTCCACTCAGCACTTACATTTCTCCAATATTTTGGTCGTGTTTTGAATGAGGGTCCAAATAAGCTCTGTAGAAGTTCCCTCAAATGTCTTTGAATCTACAGGTACCTGTTCCATCTCTTTGATTTTTGTCTCTGGTTTTTCTTGATAAATAATGGGCTGGGAACTATGCTAGATCCTTGTGCTAATTTACTAGGGCTGCTATAAAAAAAGAAATAGCATCAGCTGAGTGACTTAAACCAACAAATGTGTATTTATCTCCTGGAATGCTGATAATTTGTTTACAGGGAAAGTGAAGGCTAAATATAGTACTTTTCTATTTCCTGGCAAAAATCGATGAGCAGGATCATAAGGCTTATTAATTACATGATGTATTCATTCATTTAATATTGTCAAGGTGTCTCCATTTGGCAGGCACTTTGCTGGACACTTCAGAGAAGCAGGTTAACATATATCAAGAAGCTTCTCTCAACAAGACATTGCCTGCAGGAGCAGACTCACCTGCTAACATATGACACAGGCAAAGAGTAAGCACAGGCTGCAGGTTATTAATGCATCCTCCCTGCTACGGTTAACCCCAGGAATATGGCTTCCGGCTGTCATCTGGGCATGAAAGTAAGGAAGGAAAGGAAGAGCTGGAAAAAACAAAAATAAACCTGGATTGAATTCAGAAGCTACACAGTTAAAAATCAATTTCTTGGGTTAAGCTGCCACTTGGTACACCTGTATCCCCTCATTGCAGTGCCTAGTGTCTAGTCCTGGCTTCTCTTTGCTTCCGGCTCCAGCTTCCAGCCAAAGCAAATCTTGGGAGGCAGCAGTTGATGGATAAAGTAATTGGGTCCTGCCACTTGCATGGAAGACCCAAACTGAGTTCCTAGCTCCTGGTTGTTACAGGTATCTGGAGAGAGAACCAGAAAATGAAAGCTACCACCCTTTTCTCTTCCAAATAAAAATTTTTATTAAAAACTACATTTATAAGAAGACTGAGTACCAGAATAGTAACAAACAAGAGCCAGTTTTTAGATTTTTTAGAATCTAATATCTTTCCTCTTTCATTAAGTCTTCAATAGTTGTATTGTGGGACTGCTTGTATCATCTTGGGTATATTTCAATTTTATTTCTACAAGGAATCTATCTTTGAATTATATTATAAATACTGCTAAAAAAAGTTTAGAAAAAGGTAAAAGTAGTAAGAAAATTAAACCTTGTAGTTCTTAGAATGCACAGGTTTCCACTTTTAAACTTGTTCATGTTAAAAGGCACCTGACAGGATCCTGATCTGTATGTGAAAAGCTAGAGTATTAAACAAGTATTAACAATATGATATTTAGTAACAGTCAACTATCAAATTGATGGAAAACATAGAAACTGAGTCAGTATCCAGGCTACTCAGAGGCCCATGACCGCAGTGAAGAACTGTGGGAAGCAGCAGCTCACAGGTCCCAGGGTGGGCTTCAGACGTAAGAGAGAAATTAAGGTCTCTCCTAAGAAATGCCCTGGGTGCACTGGGGCAGGAAGAATGTGTCTTGCAGGTGGACAAGACTGCTAAGGTGAGGCATGGGAGCCAATATTCTCTACATCCTAAAATTCAGCAGTCTCTACTCTCCTCCCAGCTCTTCCTGCCTGGGGTCCTGGTAGATGGCATTCTCAGAAGATGTTCCACAGAGTTACAGTGTAAAATTCATGAGTTTCAGTGTAAAAATTGATGAGCAGGGTCACAAGGTTTATTCACCTCCAGCAATAGAAATAAGAGTGAGACTAAGAGTGGAGATTGCTTTGCATGATGATTCATAGGGATGTGCCAGGAGACTTGAAAGTTCATGTAAAATGGATTCAAAAGCTGAGTTTATTTTACTTCAAAATCTGTTTGAAATCCTTGCATAGTTTTTTCATTATAGGTATTTTTTCCATGAACATTTTGAAGTCCCCTCATATTACTCTTAAAAAGGTTTGACAGTGATGACCAACGCAGGCATGAAGGAAGCAAGACCAGTAAAAAAGCAGTGAATCAGCCAGTCTCCGGGATTTAGAGCTTAGGGTCTGATTCACATTTGTGATTAAATCACCTGGAAGTAACTCTAGCAATGTTGCCTGCTCTGTCCTGCAGTTCTTCCTGACTGTTGTTCGGCTCATTTCCGGTGATTTATGAAAACAACTTGATTGTTATCACCATATTTAAAAATACCCCCTCGGGACTCTACTTCCCAGTTTTAACCACTGCCTATTTCTCCATTTTCCTTTGCACAAAACTTCTTGTAATATTTGGCTGCTGGCTCCCTCATTTTCACCTCCAGTTTCTGTTACCACACTTGAAGTAAGCTTTCGCCACCTCACTTCCCACCGTGGAAAACCAAGGTCACTGGTGAGCTACATGTTGCAGGATCCAATGGGATGTGCTCAGTCCTCATGCCACTTGATAGATCAACAGCTGATCACATTCCACATTTTGGAAATTCTTCATGAGAACACCTTGACTGCCTGCTTTGCTAGTTTATCCTCTTGTCCAAGCCCAGGGGTTGGTACATGGAATTCTTCTGTTTCTACATACTCTCCCTAGGGATCTGGTGGCTGTGACAGCTGCAAGCTTTATGCCTCCAGAAATCTTGGCTCATTTGTCCAACCACCTACTCTACAGCTCCATTTGGATACCTAAAAGATAACTCAAAATGAATAGGCCCAAAACCAAGCTCCTGATGTTCCTGCTACCCTCAAGTCTGGATAACCCACAGTCTTCCCAATCTCAGTCCATATCTTCAATATCAAGATCACTGCTTCCACTTGGCTTTGCTATCACTCAAGTGCATCATCAACTGCTTGGCTTGAATCTCAAGAGTGAAAAGGGCCAGGTGTAGGGAGCATAACGATAGCA